AGAGGGAGAAGCAGGCTCCCAAGGAGCAGGGAGCCCGATGCGGGACTCGATCCCAGGACCCTGAGATCATGACCTGAGCCGAAGGCAGACACTTAACCATCTGAGCCACCCAGGCGCCCTGTAGAATGATTTTAGAAGAGTTGTTTTATTCTGGGCCATGCATTTCTTAGCTCCTGTGGGTGAAATGTTCTTCCCAGAGAAATAATATATTCAGACTTAGCTGCAATGTTACTAAATTTTTGAGGGAGAAAAGAATAGGAAGTTGGTTAGACACTGTTCTCCAGAAAAGATGTGTTACATACAAACAATTCTGATCACAGAGAGCCCGTTTCTATTGTTCCATTCTCAAAAAACAGGGTTGTTTGAAAGCAGAGCTATTAAGGCCAAAAAGTGTAAAGCAGATACTGGGTTTCTATGTTCTCTCTGTAAACAGTGAAAGCTCTGCTCACTGAGTGATGCTCACTAGTCAAGTGGGGTAAACTATACCTCCTACTGTTGTAACCCTTTCACTGTTACAGCATCTGCTGGAAATGAAAACTAAAAAAAATCAAGGAAACAAAAAAAGAAAGAAAGAATAGGGAAAACAGCCGCATATTGTTGTGTGTATCCCAGACTACGCATCCCATGAAGGCACGTGTGAGCACAGGAGCATCTTTATTCTAATGAGGTGACTCCCAGTGGGCTCCTGGAGGGGGCTGGTTGCCAGAGAGACCACACCATGAGGAGAAGCTTGGCATTTTCAGCCCTCCTCCCCTGGCCCCCTGCAGAGGGCGCCTGCCCACCTGTCTGGCCAGTCACCTCACCTGCTTCTCCCGGATCCTCAACTGGCACCTACAGGGGGAAGCAAGCAGCTGTGAGGGTTCTTCCCACCAAATCAAGACCCAACCTGCAAAAACCCAGAGGCTATCCTATCTCCCGACCCTGACTTTCTCCCTAGATATTGATCTTTCTCTTGATAAGCCCTGCCCTTGACAGACACGAGGGAATGCACGAGTAGGAGCCAAAGCAGGCACATAAATCTAGGCAAAACCAAACCTTGCATTTTCCAAGCTTTCCGTTGCTCCTCTTTGGCAATGATTTCCATGTCTTTGTCATATATGTAGTCCTGACACAAAAAGCAGTAGATCCCTCCATACATAAGCTCTATGGCTGAAAAGAGAAAGGGGAAAAGAGAGATCAAATTGAATTAAAAACTTTAAGGTAACGCTTAATAAGGCCACAAATGAAACATCTAAGTGTTTTAGATATTTTACTGTTTCCACCATTCCCCTACTCTCAAACCATAGAAACCTCTATTTATAAAAGGATTTTACCTCCCACTTCAGACTTTTATCCTAAGCAAGTGAGGTATGTGTACTTTCCCTGGAAGCTCAGGACTTTCGAGGCTGAGGAATCTGAGAATGAGAGGTGTCACATCCATATTTTACAAAGGACCTCAAGTATCAGGAAGCTCTATTCTCTGAAAAGAGTGGTATTTAAAACAAGGAAGGGGCACCTGGGTGGCTCAGCCAGTTAAGCGTCTGCCTTGGGTTCAACCCCCCCCCCAGCTTGTGCTTATCTTCTCTCAAAAAAAAAAAAGGTAAAATTGTCATAGAGTATGATCAGCTCAGAAGGATTCTTAGCCACCTGACATGCATAACTGTGTTTTACTACATCTAGAATTCCTGATATGATTACAAAAAGGAATGCCACAGCTATTTGCCTACTCTTACTTTGACAGTGGTAAAATATCCTCTACCCAGGCAATCTTCACTTCTTGACCCACAGAGCTGACTCCTGCCCACCTGTGAGTGGGTCTTATGCATTTTCTCAACTGCATCATCTATAAAAACTGGCTCTTAGTTACTTCAAGAAAGTAAGATAAAATCCTTTAATTTAAGCACCTGGAAGAAAGGTGTCTCAATTCAACAATTAAAAAGAATTTTTTTCTGGCTCGGGTTCACCAAGCAATAGAAGATGTCTGAGAGGCAATGCAGCATAAAGAGCACAGATTTAGAATAACTGGGATTAAGCCCGGCTCTGCCGCTTACTAGTTACGCACCTCTGATAAATTACTCCACTTCCCCGAGCCTCAGCTTCCCCTTTGGTAATAGTGATGGTAACAGCACTAAGAGTTCACAGGTTTGTGTGGTGATTTTGTAACTTTACAGTACACCTAGTGCGTGGTAATGTCTTCATACATCACAGTTTGTATCGTATTCCGGGTCTTCAGTTGCCAGGACACATCAGTAATATTGTGGGGGATCTTTAAAGTCCTCTAAAGCAGATGTATTAAAGCTCAATTGAAGAATCCCATACCTACCCCTTGCCTCTCACCCAAAACTGACAAAATTCCCACAAATTCTTTGAAAGTCGCCATCGAAGCTGCTGCAGAGAGCTTGGCTGCTGCCCCTTGGCACCGCGTATGCCTTGAATGGGATAGTTCCTGGCATGGGATACCAAAGCCCGAGACAGACTACAATGAGGATGACAGGAGTTTTCAGGAAAGCAGAGGCATTCAATAAAAAATATGCCAAGCAAGTTACACAGCGGGCTCTGAGCTCAGTGGGGAGTCTGCGTGAGATTCTCTCTTTCCCTCTCCGTCTGCCCCTTCCCCCTTCTAATAAATAAATAAAATCTTTAAAAAAAAAAAAAAAAAGAACTGGATCTTCCTCCCATTTCAAGGTTTTGTTTCTGAAAGCAAACTTTCTAAAACTTATGCTTTCTAGCAAAAGTAGACGCAGACTTTATCAGTCAGGTGGACGAAATGAATAAATTTCTGAAGTGATTTTTATAGATGACTCTGGGTAATAGCAAGATTCTTCAGAGAGCTTTTTTAAGTGCAAATAGATTTCCAATTTTCCATAACCCTTTAACCCCATGAAATCACAGCCCAGGAAAAACAGCAGAGCGGCCTACGTGGGTCTGGTCTGAGATGCAGACATGGCAGGAATACTCTTCATTTATATTGTGAAAGCACATATCTACATTAAGTAAATGCTAGATAATTTTGTCACATCCATACTGTCCCAAGCAGTGTCTTTTCCATCTGGTTAGCCAATTTAAGAGATCACTGATGACCTCATTCCTCCGTGGGACATAATTCATGAGAGCACCTTCAGCAGCATTAGCTCTCTTTCCAAAAAGGCCAACCAGCTCATCACCACAACTTGAGTCCCTCGTTCCAAGCAGGCTTTTTACGAGCGCTTGCTGTGAGTTCTTAGTTACGAGTGTGGCAGTCCAAGAGGGATGACTCAGTTAGTACATTCCATTTCTACTACCAAAAAAGGCCTAAAAAGATCTTTAACTGGAATCACTGAGCCCCCATGAAGTTTCTTTGGCTTGGACCTTTTGAAAGTGATTTTCTTAAGGACAGCCTAAGAACCTCACCATCACTGAAAATATTATTCTGAAGGAGAGAAACATTTAAGGCGCACAGTTAGAAATAAAGCCAAGGACAAAACTTTTGCTTTCTGTAACTTCCAGAATGTGTGACAGTTGGAACATGTAAGTATAAGAAACATAAATTTATCTTGACGCCACAGTGCTGTTAGCCTTTTCACGACTCTGTGTTATCGAGAACAGTGAAAATCCATTATAGAAAGCGATAGAAACCACCCAGCTGGGCTGTCAGCCATGCTGACATCAATAACCCAACCCTGCATCTAAGATCTCTCTTGGTGAATTTTTGCCTCATTGAGGGGAGAAGGCTCTGAGGTTGCATTAAAGAAAGAGCTGAACAGTGGGCCTTCGTTAATTGATCATTTCAGGTTACATTAAATACTAACTTCAACTCCAGTGCCTGAAGGCAGGCTAGGTGCATAATCCCTTTGAGTCCTGTGTATTTCACCACCCCCGGACTTCCACAAGGATTTCGGACCGGACCCTGGGAAGAGTGGTGCTGGGAGCCGCAGGCCAGGGAACAGGGGGCTGCTGCGCCAGGGAGACGCGTCGGAGGGCGCCTTACCCAGGTTGTGCCGCTTGGACTTGGCGTGCTCGTGGATATGCTTCTTTGTGAAGCAGCCAAAGAAGACACAGTGTAGGCAGGAGTGAAGCCTGTTCAGGTGGACGCCACAAACGTGACAGACGCACGACTTCGCCTGAAATTGAGAGCAGAGAATTAGAAACCAGGCGTTCCCGGACAGAAAGTGGTCAAGCAAAGAGATCCACAACCGACACGGCAGGGGGAGGAAAGGACATCACAGGGTATCATGGGTCTCACTCAACAAGAGATCTCTTTGTAATCCTTTCAACTGTTCCAAAAGGTACTCTTGGCTCATTTGGCTCAGAACTAGCTCCACGTAAGAAAGCTCAAGCCCACAGTCGCAGCTACCAAAACCCGGAAGTGGCTCAGATGTTTACCACGTGAGCCTCAGGAGCCCTCAGTCCCTGCTCGGTCCCGACGGGGTGCCGCCCACCCCCTAGTCTCCTTCCCCATCCAACACCAGCAGCTCACAGCCTAGCCACCCTTCCCGTGGACATCACTGTACATTTGCGATCCCAGGTCACAGGACCACAGCCAATTTACAAGCCATCATCAACCAGCAGAGAGGGACATGAGTCAAAGTGATACAGAAGAACAAGAAAAAGAAAGTTTGATGCCAAGAGTTAGACCACAGAAACCTAAAATTTTAATCTCAGCCACTGCGAGCAGTGATAATTCTTACACACCCCAACCACCCAAGACCACCACTGTTTTCTAGCCCAATATGACCTCTGCACTGCAGCAGTGACTATAAACTCCCTGCAGATCATCAAATTGAATTTCCAGCCTCTGAGAGGACACCACGGTGTCGGATTTTCTTCTGCGGTGATGGGTGGGCAGGAAGCAGGGGGATGAAGGCCAGGAGGAAATAAACAGGGTACGGGGAAGGGAAGGTTAAGACAGAAAGGGCTGCCAACACGAACATAGCAACCCCCCGCTGCATGCACTCTAGACGCTGGTGCCGCGGGCCTTCAGATGATGTACCTCATTCAATGCTCACAACCACCCGCTGGGGAAGGGTCTGGGCTCTTCTGACATCTGAAGAGTTACTTAGGTGTATATATGCTTGTGACCTTTGGGTGGGTGGGTGGGTGTGTGTGTGACACAGTTAGAATGGGGACTAGGACCTGCCTAACCCCAGGAGGCCCCTCAGCCTGGAGGCAGCCCCTCCTAAGCTTCACTCTGCACACACAACATCAAATCAAGTGCCAAGCCCAGGGGTGACAGGCTGTGCATTCACCTAGAGTGGGGGGCATGGAGGGAGGAGAGGCTCTGGGGACCGGGCTCAAACCATATTTACATAAAACACAAATCATCGTTTTCACCTAGATGGTAACTGCCTAAAGGGAAGCTGTGTGGGGACACTGATAACTCTGTCAGCCTCCAGAGGAGGAAGAACCGGTGCAGAGGAGTTGGCCAGGGAGAGTACAGGGCCACATGCTCCTCAAAGACAAGAGAGCCCTGCGGCCACAGCCCAGAAGACAAAACAGACAAGCTCCTCTCCCTGGCCCACCCCCACCTCGTGCACTCTCAGGCTCTCGCTCTCTCTCTCTCAAATAAACAAATCTTTAAAACAAAAACAAAAATAAATGCCGCCGTAGTATAAATAGTTGTATCATCTATTGATTCTTCTAGTGATAAATCCAAGAAATTAAGTAACCGTAATTGCTTTTAGGAATACAGGGGACATTTCTAAATTACATATACAGTTGTATTTGATGTAAGCAAATGATACTTTCAGGTATCATGGAAAATTTCCCTTTGGCTATAAATATTGTAAGCAACAGATTCCTGAAGATTCGTAGTAACCACCACGAGCTAGACTCCATTTACTATTCACTACAATTACAGATACAAAGAATGGGAAAAGATTAAGAGGTGTCCTTTATTTTTAATCACTCAGGATATTTTTAAATTTTTTTTTTTAAGATTTATTTATATTCCAGAGAGAAAGAGTGTGCACAAGCAGGCAGAGGGAGAGGGAGAAGCTGGCTCCCTGCTGAGCAAGGACCCTGGGATCATGACCTGAGCCAAAGGCAGTCGCTTAACCAACTGAGCCATCCAGGCGCCCCAGTCAGGATATTTTAAAGGCATTAAAATGGCATAAAGGCCATTTTTTAAGGCATATTTTAAAGGCATTAAATGGCATATTTTAAAGGCATTAAAATGGCATAAAGGCCATTATGCCTTTATGGCATAATTCAAAATTATGGCATAATTTAAAATTTAAAAGGAGCAACAACCACGCCTGACTGAGGACGACTGGAGAAATCAGAAAAGTCTGTATACAATTTCTGCTCAAATTCTATGGAATTCTATAGAATGTTTCTTACAAGGGGTATGACTTCAATTCATATGGAGAAAAGAAAATGAACCCAAAGTGGGAAGACCTGTTCTTCCGAAGAACAAGAAGGAAAGCGTGTAAGTAAGGACCTAACTTCCTCCTCTGGGTGACCTCGCTCAACTGTGTAACCCCTAGGACGCTACCTGGAGGCGGTGTCACACCCACCACTGAAGGTGTTACTGAGTGGATGGGTCCAACAGCTGCGAGACCAGTTCCCTCAGAGTAACGAAGCAGCCAGCGACGGCCAAGAGACACTAAGCAGAAAGCAGCATCTGTCTCGGACGGTGTCTTGTGTAATTTCTATCAGCACTATCCCAGAGAAGGTTCTACGATGCTGCAAGTGTTCTGGGTCTGCACTGTCCGTTACAGCAGTCATTACCAAGAAGTGACTCGGGCAGCCAAGAAACTGGGTTTTTTATTCTATTTCATAGTAATTACAAACAGCACACGTGGCTAGTGACTGGAGTGCTGGACAGCACAGTTTTAGATCCTAAATGGAGCAACGACTGACTTATACGAGGAGTTCTGTCTCCTGAGTTCATTTAGCCCCGAAGCTGAAGCACAGAAACTAGAGCAGCTCGAAATAACCCTGGACGCCCTAGGAAACAGTACACGTGATATCGACATTTGTAGGTCTGACACCAAACCCCAGTTTGTGGTCACTTGTGAAAGCAGCCGCAGAAAAGAATACAGAGTTCACGTTAGCTATTACTATCCTAACCCCCTCCCACTGACATGGAAAGGGTAGGACACCCTTGCACCACCCACTACTGGTCTGAGTGGGCCAGGGAGAGGCACAGGGGTGGCTGCTTTCTGGAGTGGCTGGTCGCAGCAGGGACGGCAAGGTTCCTCCCTCACCTTCCTGGATGGGCAGAGGCAGCAGAATTCTGGAGGCTGGTGGGGGTTCCAGGAAACTCAACCCAGAGTCTACTGCTCCTGGAGCCCTTGCAATGATTTCTGTATTAAATCCCTTTCTCCCATAAATTAATTCAAGTAGATTCAGTAGGCTGCAAGGAAATCCGAAACACAGCTAGGATTTTTATTGATAGGAAAAGCAGACAGGGGTCAATAATTTAACAGTTCTGTTTGCATCCACTTGGATGAAGCCAGAGAGGATTATGCTAAGTGAAATAAGTCAGTCAAAAAAAGACAAATACCCTATGATTTCATTCACGTGTGGAATTTAAGAAACAAAACAAACGAGCAAAGGGCGTGGGGGGGAGGCAAACCAAGAAACAGACTTGCAAGTATAGAGAACAAACTGGTGGTCACCAGAGGAATGGTGGGTGGGGGAGATGGGGATGAGGGGGGCACTTGTGAAAAGCATGGGAGTTGTATGAAGTGTTGCCTCACTATATTATACACCTGAAACTAGTATTACGCTGTATGTTAACTAACTGGAATTTAAATAAAAACTTAAAAAAAATAAACAGTTCTGATTTTACATAATTCAAGAAATGCACAGAAAGTCCATTCATTCGAGGCCCCAATACTAACAGTATTTCCTTGGATACTCTAATCTCTATGATCTTCTTTCTCACACCCTCCTCCCCATACCAAGAAGGATGGGGCAGGGGCAGAAGAGGCACATGAGTCAGGGATGACTCAGTTGTATGGTGAATTCTGAGTCTAGCTTAAAGCAAGTGACAACCATGAGATGGCACCTTGAGAGCTAATGCACGACTTCCCACCACCACTGATCGATTAACATCTGACAACTGTAAGAAGGTAAGTTTAATTGTTTTTCATTCTCTTTGATGACTTTTTCAAGGGTTCAAAATACTTTTCTACCATCAGGGACTCTGACATAAGCAAAGGGACAGGAATAAACATTCCATTTTCTACATGAACTGAGGCACCAAAAGGCAAAGACTTAACTGAAATCAAACAATCTCCTCAGATTTCCCATCCTCAGAAAGCCACACTCAGGTCTTTGACTCTCTCAACTCAAATAGATCTATTTAGCCCAACTCCCTCGAGGTACAGAAGTGAGAATTACAGTAAGTGTGATAGAAGAAATACATATTTTGGTCTTCCCAATTCCAAGCACAAAGCCCTTAAAACCCTTGAATTTCGAAGTGATCTGATTGATAAAGGTATCTTTTATTATTCACAAGTTCCTTTCAACCATGTCTAAATTTATGTTACTGAGATATTTTTGAAAAGCTTCTGGATAGCCTCAGGATGGGGTCTGGGTGCCAGGGAACCAACCATGTGATCAGAGGGTTGGAACTTTCTGCCCCACCCCAACCTCCACCAATTGCCAATGATTTAATCAATCATGCCTCTGTAATGTCTAATCAGTGTCTGTTTAATCATAACTATGTAATGAAGCCCTAATGAAAATGCTAAAAGACAGGGTCCAGAGGGCTTCTGGGTTGGTTAATGCATCCATGTGATGTGGAAAACAAAGGCAGAAGAAAAATTATTAAATTTCCTTACTTGTTACAGCCCACTGACAAGTCCTTGAAACAGAGCGACATTCCTCTAGGAACTTAAGTGGAGGATGTAAAACGCCAGGCAAAAGGAGCCACAGGAAAGCCAGGTGATAACACTGCTTACCCGAGGAGGGGCAGAGTAACAATTCTGAAACCGCTGTTGGAGGGGAAAATTTTTCCTCTACCCTTCAAGATTCTTCCAGCTAGTCTAAGATTTAAATTGACATGAGATAGAATAACCAAAGAAAAAGAACCAAAGTTTAATTATGTGCACGTGGAGACCAATACTGACATTAAGACCCAAAGAAATGACAAAAGCTGGCAAAGAGACAA